ATACAATAGCTTGGTCTAATTGTCACCCTCCTTGTGTTTAAAGACATTGGGAAACTACAAATCCTTCCTTCTCAACAAAATCCCCTCTCTTTCAAGATAGCTCTGTTAGAAAACTAATTCTATTTTGAGATGAAATTTGTATCCTTGTAGCTTCTGTTCATAGGTGGTAGTTCTGCCCTCCAGGGTCCTTCAGAACAAAGTCTTTCACATCATAGCCCTTTAAAGATTTGATGACAGAGATCATGTTTCTCCAAGTCTTACCTTTTCCTGGCTAAAAATTCCCTGTTGCTTTTACAAATTTTTCATATGACACTGTTTCAAATCATGTCACTATTTCAGATAGCCTCTGCTAAATATGCTCCAAGTGACAATTCTATTTTGAAGTGTGACATCTGTAACTGGGCAAACCATTATAGCTGTATTCCATTAGGCACAGTATGAACCAAGATGATTCAATTCACTGAAACCTAGGTGAAGTTAATATATTTAACAAAAAAGGAATTAAGTGCCACCCTATCAGCTCCTCCTGACTTTGTGTTTTCTCAACCTTATTCACTCCAGAATCAATCTAGAATTTTTTTTAATTGGTTGAGTTTTGTTTAGAAATTCATAAAGTATCTATTTCTGGTTAAATTAAGAGTTTTAAAAAAATAAAATGGAATATAAAAGTACTTCTCCGTGTTCTTTATCCACCACCTCATTTCCTGGAGGTAACCACTATTACGACTTTCATGAAGACCTTTTAAAAACCTATCTATGACTACATAAACATATGGCTCTATTCCTTTTTTTTTTTTTTTTCAAAATAAATGGAATAATATACCTATTCATCTGAAATGTTCCTTTTTCACTTATCTTGGGAGTCTTCCACACAAAAACTGAGCCAACAATTTAGGTTGGCTCTAAATTGGGTTTGCCATTACAGATAAAGCTGCATAAAAACCTTGCTAATAGACTGTTGTGTATGTGCACATATATATCTGTACCATAAATTGCTGGAAGTAGAATTAGTGGACCTAAATATATGCACATATTTTATTTCAATACATATTGCAAATGTGGAACTTACACACATGTACATGCACACACACAACTGGGGTGTACTACAGATATAATAATTCTGAAATTCAAGAAACTATAAAATTAACACAGTTTTTAAAATAATGTTGACATATAGAGAAGATTAAAATAAGTTTTAGAACTATTCTTTGATGAAAAAATGTTAAATTATATGAGTTTTTCTGACAGCTATACCATACTGCTGATTCACATTGAGGTTATTATCAACTAAAATTGCTAAGCCTTTCAGAGGCTAAGTTTTTGTTAAGCCATATTTATTCCATTCTCTATCTTAGCAATTTGTTTTAGAGTGCTCAGTATATAAGGTTTAATATTTATATGTATTATAAACAAACTGAGATTTAGTTCATATTCTAGAATATCCAAATTCTTTATGACTGAATTATTTCATCTATTTCCTTTATTCTGTTATTTTTAACTAAAAAAAATAAGAACATGTATTCTATAATTTTATCCAAATCACTAGTAAAACATTGAAAGGTGCTAAGTCAAGAGGATCACTGCAGCCCACCGGTACAGGCCTCATCCTTGGTTGGCAACTATATATTAATCAGGCATTTTAAAGATATTTTTTCATCAATTGCAATTAAAACTAATTACACTATGTTTTTTATGTTGTCAGAAAGAAAACACACCATTTTAGAAAAAGTATTATAAAGATTTTTAAAGCCTTGCTGCCCTCTATGAATATCGAATAATTTATCATTCTAGAATCCCTATCATTCATTTATATATTGGACAAAAATTTGTTGAATATTCAATATAGCTTCATTTCTGTTAGGCGCAGGATATGTAAGTAATGAATAAGGATGACTAAATTATTGCCTTTATGAACTTTATGTTTGAACGTAAAAATACACAATAAAAATAACAAAATAATATAAAATATAATTTCAGGTTGTGATAGATTCTAAAAGAAATAAATATGATGACATAGTAGGATATACCTGCAGGAGTGATTTAAGGAATTGAGAAGATGATGTTTGAGGTGAGTCCTCACAAATTGAATATAACAGGAGCTGTCTATATGGCTATATGAGAAAAGAGCAATGGGAAATTACCAAGTGCAAACCCCCTCAGGTAGGAAGGAGCCTGCTGTGTTCTAGAAACAGAAATCTAATGATTGGAAAGGAAAATAATATGGGATGGGGCTGGAAGTTAGGCAGTAAGAAGTTCATATAAGTCTGATTAAACTATAAAAATTTTTTGCATTTCACTGTAAAAAGCTAAGGAAAGTAATTGCTACAAAAAAAAATGTTTACAATTTTACTTTGGCTTTTATATAGAAAGTAAAAAGTAGATTAGATAAAGATGATAATGTCATAAGCTAACATGTTGACAGAATGGAGAAAAGCATATAGATTCAAAATCAATATTTTTTGGTGAAAATGATAGGACTTGTTAATAGAAAAAACAGCCAATAGAAGTCATTAGACTATAAGCTTCACAAAGGTAAGGATTTTTGTTTGCTTTTTTTTTTTTTTTTTTTACTATTTTCCTCCAGATGCATAAATAGTGCCTACCACATACAATGTGTTCAATAAACATTTACTGAATGAATTTACGGGTTTTTCCCCAGAGCAACTAGAAGGACAACCATGCCATTAATTAAAATCACTAAGACTGAAGAAGAAACAGAATGAGATGGGGACAGACAAATTTAAGAGTTCCATTTTGGCTATTTTAAGTCTTAGATGTCTTCTAGATATTGAAGTGGAAATGTCACGAGGAAAACTAGATGTTTAAGTTCAGTCATTAGGTAAAAGTTCTAGCTTGGAGAGAAAAATTTGGAAGCCAGCAGTATGTAGCCATGGGATTTATAGTAAATAATAAAAAATTTAAGAAATCCCTGAAGGACATAAAAAAGAGTTCTAATTATAGAGATACATAAAACATGTTTATTAATGAAAATATTTAATATCTTAAAAAAGTGATTATTCCCTAAAATAATCTAAAATTTAAAACATTTAGAAATGTTCAATAAATATTCTAACATGTATTTTCATCAAACTTGGCAAGTTGCTACTAAAAGTTACATAAAAGAGCAAAATAAGAATAGCAATAATTTAAAGAAAAAAATGAGGTGAGCCAATTTGCCCAGAAGATATTAAGATTTAGTATAAAACCATAATTAAGACATTGCAATACTGTATGTAGTAGGGATAAAGACATAGACCAGTGGAACACAAGAGAGAATCTAGAAACATAAATATTTGAAACATATTTCGATTTAGCTATCAATCTATATTTACATATGGAATAGTAGTAAAATGTTATACATATTTGATATATATGTATTTTATGTGTATGTGTATATTATATATGTGTATAAGTATATACATGTATGTGTATACAAATATATATATATAAACCAATGGAAACATTTATAGTGTATATGTGTATGTGCAGAACAAATGGTAGCATTTCACATTAATTGGGAAAGGATCAACTACTTAATGCATGATATTGCCCAATGGTTAGCACTAGAAAGAAAATGAAGTAGATCTCTAGCTCATGTTACACATAAAAACAAATTTCAGATCAAATAAAGATCTATATGTTTCAATCTTTTTAAAAGATAGTATGGTACTTTATAATAATTTTATTGGAAGAATTCCTTAGCAAAGCACAAAACAACAGACATGTGGCACAGGGTAGGTGCTCTATAAATATCTATTGAAGGCATTAAAAGATAGATCATATATTTACATTAAAGTTCTTAAAATTCTCATTGATTAAAATATTGTTTTAAAAATTTTTTAAAGCCATAGACAACAGAAGATATTTTTTAAAAACCCAAGCAATATAATAATAATTTTAAAATTTTTCAAAAAGGTTTAGGCAATTCACAAAATTAGAAAGCTAAATGATTAATAAATATCTGAAAAAAAGTCTCTTTTTAATCAGAAAATTATAAAGCCAGTGAGATTTATTTAATACTCCTCAGTATTAAATAATGATGCTGTCATTTTTAAAAGTCATTCTTTTAAAAATGACAGCATCAAGTAGTATCCACAATGTGGAGAAATGAGAATCCTCCTAGACTGTTGAGGGAAGTATAAGTGATTCAACCACTTCAGAAACCTCATTGGGGTATTCTGTCCCCTGTAGGATCTCACAGAAAACTGACATCAGTTGTGCGGTCTCAGTTGCAGATCCTCCAGACTCCACTTCTCCAGCCAGTTTTTACTAGTTAATTAACATCAAGTCCAAAGAAGCAGTCTCCCTTACTAGTTCCCTAGTGATAAAATCATCAGCAAGGCAAATCAAAAATTTAACACATACTTACTTTTAGTAAAATAAAAATCTTGGCAGGTGTCCAAAGACTTAAAATTTCTAATCATTGCCACATTTTACATTCTTACATTTGTGGTCTTTATTAGGAAGCAGTTATTTATTGCTTATTTTAGACAAGGTGACTAAGATTGCCTTTAGGTGTATCCTAATTCATGGCTTCAAGGTTCCTAGTCATCTAGATACAACTCCCTAAAAACGTGTTGCTCTTCAGATTTCAGGAAATTGAAGACAATAAAACAACAAAAAATACATTTCTTGGCTTTTACCAAAGCCATGCCTTCTTTTGATAAAAGGAAAGAAAATGTTCCTTTCATTCTATTTGAGGTTTCAAAATAAATAATCACTAAAAATAAATCAAATCTGTTGGAGACAAAGTACCACTTTGATTTCAAATTATATTTTTCTCTCACAAGATTCTGATATAGGCCCTCAGGGAATGTTACAAAAACCAGGTGCTAAGTAAAGAAATAGATGATTAGTAAAAAATAAACCATAATCTTAGGATGAGTCATCTTCTGCGTTTAAAATAAATATTTTAATATCTTTCCATGTGTATAAGAGTCTGAAGCATTATATATACTTTTTATAGCTAGCTTTGTAGAAGAGTATCTGAGTTATCATACCTGTGGACACAAAGTTTCCAAGTGATTGGCTGCAATTTTGACAATTTTAATCCCATCTTCATTTGTTGACATGGAACAAGCAAGATTTGCCACCTTAAATACAATCAAAAATAATGAAAATTATTTCAGATTATCAAGGAAATGCAGAAACATTTATTATCCATGTATACCTACATTGAAAATCTCAGTAATAAACAACAGCATTCTCATAAATGTCACTGGTGTCTGTTTTATGAAAGCATCCAGAGAATCTATTAAAACAAAAAACAACAAAGGGCCCTATAAAATTGTTTAGAACAAAAGGAAAGACTGGTGAGTGAATCAGTAAACCCCATATAATCTCTTGGTATCAACATCTAATCGTTAATATGATGCTATTATGATTTGCTATGGGACCGAAAAAAATTGTATCTATGGATTGAATGCTAATAGGTTCTTGGAATCTCGTATGATTGTGGTTTACTTTACTTTTGTAATTGGTTTATTATTTCCCAGAGGTTTATTATGCCTACTTAAGTTGCATTAAGAATGACTATATCTTTATTCATGTTTATTCAGCATCAAATATACTACAAAGCTAGACAAATAGAAGATAATTAAATTCTTCTTCCTGTTCTTGATATTCTACCACAACCTTATGGGCACTGTTTGACATTCTAGCAATCTATTTGATTCAAGCATTAGTGACAACCAAATTCCTTTATACATTATTGCTTTTGAAACTTATACTCTCTTCCAGTGAAATGAATGTTCTTTTAAATAACTGCCGTTATGTCCTATATCTAAGCCTAATATTTACAAATATTTCTTTATACCATGAGCCATGAGAAAGAGCATGAGATTCTTTTCTTTTCCTTTGAACCTCACTCTTATTCAACATTCCTCTTGCTAGCAAGTATTTGTATACAGAGGAAGTGTTTACTCTGATCTATGGAATACATAACTGTCTTCATCGCTGCAAAGAGTTTGTTGTTTTAAAAATCATTTTTCTAACATACTTAATGCCTCTGTTGATTATTATATACTTTAACACGATGTAGTTTTTACTGTTCAAATCTAAAATGCATTCAGTTGCGGAGAAACCACACGTTGCTGCATGCAATGAAAGCAAATAACAAGCATATATAAAAAGATCACAAAATGTTACTGAAATGGATTTATAGTCTTTGTTTTTAATAGCATTACTTTTAATACGTCAACAATGAAACAACTCTTTGGTTTGCATTTACATATAATGAAATAATAGCCATACATTATTTAACTGTGGAAGGGCATTGCTCACTATATTAATGTACATGGAAATGGCTCACTTGAAAAGGTCTTTTGTTGGCTTGAAGGTCGCAGTGCCTCAACTTTATTATCTGACACATAATTAGCACGTTTGTGAATTATTTGAAAAGAACAGCAGTTTCTGTGCCCCTCTCCTCAACTCCTCAAGCCCCACTCACAGAAGGTTAAATTCAGCAGTCTAATTGCTTTAATATACCTTATAATAATTTGTACTACACTTGCAAAAAAAAAAAACCGTCTGTAAATTCTAACACTATTTAAGTAAAAAATAAAACAAAATAAAATAAAAATTATAGGTTCAATCTTTTGGTCAAATCAGAATGCTGGTTAATCCTAAATTTAAAGAATTACAAAAAGGTGCCCCATATAGCCACCGTTTTATTTTTTCTATTTATTTACTTTTAATGTATCATCATTCTCTTTTTCTCCATTTAAAAATAGGCATTCTTGTTCTGGACATTTGTTAGTCACCATGTTTACTGCAAGCCAATTCAATGACTAACATAACATGGAAATCATCTTGAACACAAAATTTCTGTTTATATATTAGCAGACTTAAGTTTTACAACACTCCTAATTGAAAATACAACACAGCTAAAAGATTTCAACTCAATTAATTATCATATTAATACTCTTTGTTTCTTTTATTCAGACATAATAGAATTTCTCTTTGCCAGAACTGTTCTATATCAGATAAACTTTCTAGATAATCAAGTAGTATTATTTCCAGATTAAGGTATGTAAAGTTCTAGTGATACTTTATACGAATTCAAATTTATAAAATAGCTAATATTCTGTGACAAAACAGATAAATTTACATGACAGAAATATCTTTATATTTCTAATATGACTGACTTGTGACATATTTTCTAAAGTCGCATCACTGTGTAAATAGAAGACAAATTTCTACTAACAATAATTATACCTAAATTCTATGGGGCTCTTTTGGCAGTCGAGTATGTTGCCAAGCACAGCATGAAGGCGAATCCCTCATAGTTAAAGAAAGCAGCATGCAAATAAAATATTTTGTAAAATAGTTTGAGATATTTGGACATTTGATATCTTTGTATATCTAACTTTGACAATGTTTCAAAAGTCTGTGGAAAGCTTCAGTATTCAAGAAAGCCTTGTGGAAAGTTTGTGCCCACTAAGAGAAATTAGGGCTTATGGAGGTTTTGGAGATAAACAGATCTAGATTTGAACCTAATTCCCAGAGTTAATAAGCTCTCTGATCATGGGCAATTTGTTAACTTCTCTAAGCCGTCAGTCAGTCTGTCACTAAGGGGTTCTCACACAGAAATTCATCTGTGATATAATTTCTTAAGAATGTGAGGAAAACTCTGATGTTTGGTGAGATTTCCATTGTTGCGCATTTATTATTTATATATAGTTAACTGCAATATCATGTCACAGTGTATCTCAATGGGAGAGAAATGTCACTGTCTCATTTTCATTTTATATTCCTCTCAGGCAGATGGTCATGCAACTCCTGTGTAAACACTTTCAGAGACAGAGAATGTACTGATTTGCAAGTCAGCCTATTCTCTTTGTGGGTAGTCCAAAGTTACACACGTTAAAAACTTCTTTGTTATCATGAGGTGAAATCTCTCAACGATTTTCTCATAGTAGTCATAGAATCCAGAATGTCACATATCCTCAGTAATAGAAATAAAGTTGGGTCCATATAAAGTCTATATTAGCAGTTCTCAATATTTGTAGGATAAATTAGATGGTGAGTATAATAGAATCACCAGTAAATAGCTATTAAAAAGGGAAATTCCAGGGTTTTTGTTGTTGTTGTTTTTGTTTGTTTGTTTGTTGCCAAATTACTCTGATATAGTGTGTCTATGGATGGAAGTTAAGGTAGTAGAAGTTATGTTTAATTTGATTTTTAAAAGTTCTCTAAGTGAGTCTGATATCTCACCTCCCTACACACAAACACACACAAACAAACAAAAAAATAGAGAAAGCAAACATATATTTGGACTTTGGGCTGATTTTCATTTGTTTGGGTAGACACTCCTTCCAGATAGTTAATGTAAAGAGGAAATAATCTATAAAAAGTATGACTTGAATATATGTGGAAAAGGCTAGGAAGTCATAGAAAATGCTTTATAAATTAGGGACAAGAAAAAATGACTTATACTACTACTTGAGAAATAGTGCTTAGTCTATTCAGGCTATCATAACAAAAGTACCATACTGGTTAGCTTATGAACAACAGAATTTACTTCTCACTGTTCCAGAGGATAGGAAGTCCAGGACCAAGGTTGTGGCAGATTTGGTGTCTGGTAAGTACCTGCTTCCTCTATCACAGAGACAGCTGTGCCTCTAGCTGTAACCTCACATGACAAAAAAGGTGAAGGATCTCTCTAGGGTCTCTTTTACAAGGGCACTAATCCCATTCATGAGGGTTCTGCCCTTGTAACCTAATCACCTCCTAAAAGCCCCACCTACCAATACCATGGCGTTTAGGATTTCAACATATGAATTTTTGAGACACAAACATTTAGTCTATAACAAAAAGAGAAAAGTTAAAATATCAAAATATATAGGAAACAAGAAAATCAAGTATAGGAAAAATTTCTGATCTTTTACCCAGAATCCATTCCTCCTTCTGTCATTAATACTCTGATTTCCCTTTGGAGAACTGTTCTCTCTTCCTCTAATCCAGTGGTGTGAACTCTTGGTATGACTGTTAATGAAGTCTCCTAGTCCTCCTCTAACTCCATCCTGGGCATATTCAACACCCTACTGCCTAAAGCCCTAAAGTACTCCTTGTTCCTGCCCAATCTGAGCTGTCTTTTTCTTCATTTTGCCTTTACTTACATGCCCTACCTTGTGTCTTTCAGTGAAGTCTCTTTTGTTTTCTAGTTAAGTAAACCAAATTTATTTTATCTTGCATGCTATCATAAATGATTGAATTATTGAACCAGAAATTTACACAACAATTATGTACTGATTTCACAGAGTACTTTCAGCAATGCTAAGTGTTGGCAATGTAGAATCATAATCATTTAATGGAAAGCACCTCCTAATCAAATGTCTTCCTCTTGACTTAGGCCACCTGAATGTCCTAGTATCAGGGGCCAATGCAGGGAAGAAGGTATTCATTTCAGTTCCTGAGCATGTAGATAAATGTGTTTACACTTGTCTTTCCTCAAATATCTATTTCTTCAATGTCTATTAGCATATTCTATATACCAGGTACAAAAGAACATCCAATTCTTGAAGAAAATAATTTCCCATTTTTGGGTTAATCATTTGCAAGTTGTTCATTCCACCTGAAAACCATCCTGTCACATGCTCTTTCAAATTCAAACTTATACATCAAGGCCTGGATCAGATATCTCCTCCACATACCCTTTTCAGATGCCCCAAATCAGAATTCATCTTTCTACCTTCCATACTCCCACAATTATAGCACAAACTTCATTCTTCCTAGATTCACTATGTAACAGTGAGCTGCTGGAAGGGAAAGATAGTAATGTATTCTTTTAAAAAATTATGGCTAATCAAGCGAAGTATCCTAAAAATAGTATTTAGTCCATGTAATAAATAAAAATAATGATTTATCTTTGTCCAGCTAGAAAGTGAATTATCATAACTAAAAATGATTTTCTATTGTGTCTTAAATGAATACATTCAATGAATAATATTTCATAGAAGCCTTATTACTATTTTATTTATTCGTTGAAGTTGTGTTCTTTTTCTGTCCCTTTCTCATCAAAAAAAATAAAAAGTTTCTAATTATCTATAATATGAGCACAAAAGTAAGTATCATTACTTTAAGTTTTAGAGAA